ATGTATTTATACTATAAATATTTGAAAATAGTAATTAGAAATGCATTTAGTTGTTATTTGTTTAAATTAAATTTAACTTTGCAAAGTTATAAATGATTCATGTAATATTAAATTTGAATTCTATGCAAATATTTCTTGGTATAAATATGAATTTATCATTTTGTTCAATCTTTAGTTTACATTTACAAAACAAATATTTTTTATTATAAATATGAAAAATTCTATATTTTTATAATGTTATTTATAAAATAATACAGGCCAAATTTGAACAAACCGCTACCCGTGACCCTCATAAGCTCTACCTGGATGGGGCAGTGTGCGGGTATAGGTTGTAATCCAAAATTTGTGGGTTGACCCAGAACCGGCTCAGAACCCGTAGCGGTCGGACTTTTTTTCACGTGGGCCATTACCAGACTCATATGTTGGCGGACTGACCCGACTCGACTCGGACCACCGGGATTGACACCTCTAAATCATTCTTTGTGCGAATCACCCATTTCTCTCGTTTTGTCCATTTGCTCCGTCAAATGGTTATGCGTAGTCTACTCGTACATTTGCCCCGTGATTAGTCAACACACTATTTGGCCATCTTCCTAGTCTAAACCTAGTCATTCTGAAAAATGGTAATGTTAAGTGTATCAATTATATGTTTATGTATGTACTACGTATAGATGTGTATAAAAAAAAAATCATATCTAGATTTAAATATGTAAAATTGTACATAATTTTTCTGTACGAGAGAAGAACAGTGGATCACAATGTTACCCTATGTTATCTTTATCGGAAATTCAACATTTGAGATTATTGGCATCCTCGAAGGGAAATTTGACCAGAATGTTGTACATAATCTCTAGTTTGATGAGTGAAATGTCAAGTTTTCACGAGACAAAATGTTGAATTTTGTAGATATCTTGCGAGTTTACCATGAAAACCTCAAATTTGTTGAGCAAATCTTTATGCGAAAGTTGAATAAATTGAGCAAAATATCGAGTGAGTTGCATGTTGTATCTCGACCAAAATATTATTGGAGAAATAACTCGAGTGAATAACACAAGACCATCTGACGGAACAAATGAATGTAATGAAAAAACAAAGAGATTTGTACAAAGGATATTCGATTCGATGACCCAAATACCAAAGTAAATGATACGAAAATTTTGTATAATGAAAACAAACAATAAAGACGTTTTGTATCAATTATCCAATTTTTTTCCAAATAAAAATAGGTAACCTTCGTAATATTTATAGTCTGTAATTCAATATTGCCCCCAAAAATGACTCATCCTTTCATCAATTGCCTTAAATAATAAAGTAAAATAAAGAGATGAATACTCTATTTTATTGATTGTAGTCGGTAAGGATTAGAAGTCAAACTGTAAAAGCAAATAAAAAGTCCAAATTCTATAGTTTTGACCCACATTTTAATTGGAAAAATATGAATTATATAGCAAATTTCGAATAATACATATTCCAATTTTTCTCCACCAGTCCCTGAGTTTCCACCCATCTGTATATAGTGACCCCAAACTTAAAATTCATTAGTTTGTCGTGGCCGCCTTTTCATATTAATTTTTATCTAACTTGGATTGATGTAAATTAAGTAATACTGCAAAAAAATTAAAATTACAACCATTTTTCATCTGATAAGAAATTATCAATTGTTTTTCGTAAAGAACTCGTGACTAAGAGATATAGATTGTTGCATATTATTTTTAATGAAAAAGATAATTTCTTTTTCGTTAATTCCAGCCTCAGTTTGCTACATCAGCATAAGGGTTGGATGGAATCAAATTTAGAAGTCAATGGCAAATTAGAAACAATTAAAAGTTTATTGATGTGTTAGAAACATAGGTGGAAGTTCAAGGATAGATGGGGCATTTAAACCAATTTTCTATACGCTGTCAAGTTCAATTTCATCGTGAAACCTTGACCTTTGGATTTCAATCCGACGATGTTTAGACATTGTCAGAAAGAACGTCTGGACAGCACAGCTGACTTCACCCAGTTCGACAATTCCTTGAAACATTTTGAAAACTCTTTTTAAGTTAAATGGAAAAATAATGAAAAATCAAATATGAAATTTACCAAAGTTCATGTTTACGTTTTTACCAGATTTTATACAAAGTCAAGATTTTCTTTCTAGATATACATACAGCACACGTTTATATACACGCGTTCTGCTCAAAATTTGAATTTCGATTCGATCTCAGTTGGTTATTGAAGTTTTCGCCACTCAATATGAGGTTTATTGAGTAAACCCAGTTGATGATTTCATGCAAAAGCGCTGGCATTGGTAGTTCTAACTGGTTGTTTAGTGAGTTAATGTTTATGAGAAATCTAGGGTTTTGTTTTCCTGGGTCTGGTGTGATTTTGAAAATGGGGTTTGAATACGAGTCGTGCTTGATTTTTCACATGGGTCCTGATTGAAGTGAAGAAAGATAGGTTTTTGAGCTGTAAATTTTGAATTCTTTTTGTGAATTATTGTATGCATTTAAACTAGGGGAAGAAGTATTTGAAGTAGTTACTATTGTTGTCTAATAGAATTTGGGGGATTGAAAGGGAGAGGTAGAAGAGATGTTTTATTCACAGTTTATATTGGCGAAAAAGGGGCCGCTTGGTACAATATGGATAGCTGCACATTTGGAGCGCAAGCTTCGCAAGAATCAAGTTGCTGATACTGACATTGGAGTCTCCGTTGGTAATGTTTCTATTTTTCTCTTTATTATTTTTCTGTACTCAATCTATTCTTTCGTACTTTTTCTCCTTCATTGATACTGGTATTTATCTTTTGCAATTACAAACACACTTACACTCTCTCTGGACTTTGATATGCCTTGTGGTTGTCTGGTTGATGTTTAAACTCGCATGCATATATATTTTTATATTATCATTGATCGAGGAAATAAAATAAACAGATATTGGAAAAGGAGATCGTTGCGCCTAACATGGCTCATGTTCAGTATCAATGGAAATGGATACCCTTATGTTAGCGGGTGATTTTTAATTTTCTATCCACTTAACTGTTAAGTTAGGGTCACATCCTCTGCCTTACTTTGTTGATGAATCTCTGAAATCAGATTTAACTAGAAATTTCTCAGTTCCGAGCATCAATTAACAATAAAACACGGTGCTTGTTCGGAAGATTGTATAGTATGAATGTTTTATATTAGAACAAAGATACCAACAGCAACCTTGTGATAGTTACTACACAATATAGTGCATGCCAGAACACTACGTTACTTTGAAACTAGTAGAGGAGGAGATGCATTGGACACAAGGAGCGCTGGATGCTATAGAAAAAGTGTCCTAGAACTGGACTGTCTTTGTGCTCATGAACTCGAACTTTTGAGCTCAACTTTATCCAAGTTTTGCTGTGTGAGCAACCCCACGTTTCTCCTTGAATTGGAAATAGGAGTTATAGACATTTCTAGGCAACGAAAGTGAGAAACCAGGGCTTATGCAGAAACTGAAATCTGGCAGGCTGGGAGGATGGTTGATTAACTGAGAAAAGTCTTGCTGAGAAGTATTTTTGATTTTTGATTTTGAAGAAGCTGATTTGGATTCATGGTATTAGATAATGTGTACATTTGTATTTGTTATAAAGAGATGACATTATGTGTTTCCAGATGATAATCAAAAGCTTACATGAATCTTTGCATATACTCTAGAGGTTTGTTGCAAAGCTAGTTTCTCGTGTTTATTTGGACATCTAAGCAATCCTATTTAGAATAGCACCACTTTGATGGTTATGTACTTCAATGTTTAAAAAGGCATAAATAGGTACTGAGACATGTTTCCGTCATCAGGCAAGGCTGATAGAGGCATAAAAAAATATAAAATAATACAAAAGAAAATTTTTGCTGGAAGTGCAGAACTTGAATTGGAACTGAATTTCTGCTGGATTACACTTGTGATTTTGTGGCTGCCTTGCAATCTTCTGAAGAAGAATTAGAGAAATACAAAAAAAAAAAAAAAAAAAAAAAA